AGAGATAAGCAGCGTCGCAGGTGCGAGCCTTTGCCTTCCAGCCGCAACTCAATTAAGTCAAAGGGTACCTTTTTGGCTTTCAAGCTAGGAGGTTAAGTTCAGCGTAGGAAAGGAGGAAGGTTGATAAAGAGCCGCGCTGATCACAACGACTCACTGTCTGCCATCACAGCAGTGGTACCTCAAACTTGGCTAATCAAACCAGCGAGTTCAGTTCCGTGACGTCGCAGCCCCGTCACATAACGTCAGTCCGGTCACATGACGTCACCGCCCTTTCCCTAAGCCCCGTCCCTCCTCCGACCAATCAAAGCCTTTGTCCCGCCCCTGACATTGGTATATAAGGCGGCTCAAATCGCTTGTCGGTTTTATGGTTTGTGCGTGCTGGCGAACGGTTAATAACAAAGAAAATTAAGGAGTACGCAAAAACCTCTAGACACTAGCGTAATCTAAGCTTACGTGCATTGAATCTGTCTTATTCGGCATCTTTTTGGACCTTAGCTGGCATTCGCTCCGAGATCGACATGTAAGACGCAAAGCCGTCAATACTCTGGCAATAGAAGCGTGCTTCTATTGACAGAGTAGATCCTAAAGCGAAGAAGGTCCGAGACCAAAGACAAGGTGAGACCTCGAAGCAACTTCAAGATCGGCTTGAGAGCAATCTTGCTAGAATAGCCGAAACAAGGGCGATGCAAATGGAGCAGCGTAAACTCTCTCAAACTTGCTTGCAGCTTGCTGCTCTGAGAGCTCAGAGTTACGAGAAAGTCGCCGCTCCCGACTGGAAGATGATCGAGTGAGACACGCTGAAGCTAGGTCTCAAGAGACGGAAGAACAGCAAGTATCAACTTGAGCACACGCGAATGAGGGTCGAGCAGTCAAAGAGGAGACCGATGACCGAACAAGATCGTGCTCGACATGCTCACGCTAAACAAAAATCAGGCGAGTAGATCTGAGACTGGCGGCTTTCAATTACAATGCCCAGTTTGACTAGTCGACTCATCCAAAAGTTCAAATCGGAAAAATGGATGTCGTTTGTGACAAGTATCAAGCCAAAAGATCTAGAGATGACCCTCCTGACATGCGTTCCGGCTGCAAAATCGACCTTCTGCCTCATGTCCGACACGAGTGCTGCATCTAGGCATTTTTTGTAAAACATCAGGGAGTGCACTGCGTGCTTCCAGATGAGGTCCTTTGGCATTACAGTCACCACAGCCGAAGCTGAGGAACAGAGCTTCATGTCAAGGTTCAACGTGCAGGGGCACATCTATCACAGAGCTGGATCCCTGCTTTCTTGTGGCAATAATAGCCCCAAGTTCCTGCAGCTATGCTTCGTCTGCGACAAACAGCTGCAACGAATCAACGTTGCGGCATTATCGGTGGCACAAGGCCGGATGTCGTGTAAAGCTGCAAATGCAGCATCAGCACAACGACCCGGTGAACACGTTCAACACTGCCCTGAAGCAAATGCGTACAGATGAGTACAAAGTCGTTATCCGTACTGACAAGCGACCTGCTCGTAAGCATGAACGACGCTTCAAGCTCCATCTGTAAAAGCGATGGCGGTGGTCTTCGTTATCGAGGGCGATTGCGACAGGCGTAACCAGAAACCTTGCGAGACGCTGCAGCGCATTTCTATAACATAGGCCGTACGATGCCCTGCAGTACCCACTCATGTTTTGGAATGGGGCAGACGGGCATCATTTTGAACTATGGCACAAATCTTTGCACTAGTGCCCTAGTGCACTAGTCACCAACAAAAAGGTATCGGCTATGACTTTCTATGCGTATCGCACGATGATAAGGTCCACGTTCCTTCAACCATGTCATGAAATGTCGCCAACTGTTTCATCAATTCATCCTAGACATGTACGCCAAGATCGAGAGTGAACGGATCCTCTTCATTCGACGCAATCAGCGAAAGCTACGTGCAGA